ACATGATCAGCAATCAGGTCAAAGCTTCATCTGTGTTAACATACAGAACACCAAGAGTTGCTGACCAGCAATTAACAGCCCAGTTGGATCTCAACAAGAAAACTTGTCTGTGCAATATATTAAAAATATCTTTTAACTGTGTAAATTCCTTTCTGAGCAATAAATGCAACTATTCCTTACTTCAGCCAAATTGCACCCAAAACTTGACTTGCAAGATTTTTACATTTTTAAAAAAGAAAGCAAGGAAAGATCAAGAACAAAAATAAAGTTGCTGGAAAAGCTCAGCAAGTCTGGCAGCATCTGTGAACGAAAAAACAGTTAACGTTTCGGGTCTGGCGACCCTTCCTCAGAACACGGTCTTTCCTCAAGGAAAGATCAAGTCCGATAGCCACTGAAACGTGCAATTATCCCGTGACATTTTATTGCAAAAGGCAGCAGTCGGACAAATTTGTGTTACCTGTTCATCGAATAATACCAGCCCGCACTAACCTTTATGTTGATTACACGAACACATCATCCAGAGGAGAGGGGGCTGCAATATCTTGACTGGCCGCAAAAGTAGATTTGACAGGGAGCCAGAAGGCCCTCCAGCCCATGCAATCAGACAGCAGTGGGAACAGATAGCTGTGGCGGTCAATGCCAGGCATCTGGCTCCACGGTCCCAGATGCAGTGCTGCAAGAAGTTCAGACACTCCACACAAGTGATCAAGTTGAATGACTAGGTCCTTCCGTTGCCATATCCTACTTGCTGCATTAATAGCCTCAGATATCGCTCAATCCACCGCAGCCCCATCATCCATCTACCAGGGATCATATCATACATTCATATCATTTGCCACACCCTTACACACTCAGCATGCAAGCCTTACAAACACATCTCAGCTGCAAACACTGCGGCAGATATTCAAAAATATCACACAAATAAACAATACTTACTGACTCATTTGCCTCCTGCTTGCAAGGTAAGTTGATAGACAAAAAGGGCAGTTGAAACTAGCCTGGGAGACAGGCAGATGCACATTCTCCTCCAGACGGAGATGATAGTCAATGATAAGACAGACCATGGCCAGTGACAGGACTTCAACCACTGAAGATAATGACATCCACATAACTATCCCTCTTATGAACACACCATTTCCCACTCATGCCACATTCTCTTTTATTTTAGGATAAAAGTAGCAGCTGATGCTCAGGAATATTACCTCCAAGTTGCTCTCCAAGACAGATGCCATCCTGACTTGGAACTATATTGCTGCTCTTTATTTTCCCCCACCTCTGACGATGACAGTTTGACAACTCGATGCTGCCTGCTGATTTCAATGACTAGTGTTCAGTCTGTGCTAATCCTTCACTGTGGCGGAGTCAAAAACCTGCATTGTCCTTTCTACACCATATAAACTGCAGCAGTTCAAGATGTCAGCTCACCACCTTTTTCCAAGATAATTAGGGACGGGAACTAAACGCTAGCATTCTCACAAAGACATCCCAGAAATTAATAATATATATAGTGTTGCAGACAACAAAAGTAAGCCCCTCTCGATCTTCGACACAACAAGGTGCAGGGCTGGATGAACACAGCAGGCCAAGCAGCATCATAGGAGCAGAAAGGCTGACGTTTCGGGTCTAGACCCTCGATCTTCCTCCTTTGCTACATCACAAACCTACCACTGTACCACTACTTTTTCAGATACACAGAAAGAATAATGCATCCTGGTCAGACACTGGTGGAAGAGACCGGAAACAGTGATGTTGACAATGCAATCTATCAATTTTGGACTCCCAGCCCTGAGTTCAGATGCTCATACTGCACATTTGCTGAAGGACAAGAACAGAGATGTAATTTAAACATGAGGAGACACCAGGCATCAAATAACACAGAAATTCATTGAGACTGGAGTCCATTTTCTTCAACATAGTGTAAGATTATCAATAATTTTGACTTAATGAAGCAAGCAAAAAAATCAAATTATATTCTGTTTAGTTGTGGTTAGTTGTAAAAACAGTTTCTGTAAGAAATAATAGCGACATGATACAAGTCAAAAATAAAACCACAGGTTTCTGGTTGCTTTTATGGCTCAAACTGGTGAGCATGGAGGCTAACAAATGTGAATGTGAAAGTACTTGGAGGTAAAATCCTTTCACTCAGATACAGAGTTGTGTTTTCAATTGGTTTAGTTTTGTAGTTTGATGTATGTAACAGGTCTGTGTCTGTTAGTTGTGTTGACCTTTACTTTGTTTTAGAAATCAACAGTTATTGTGGATTCGCACACAATTCTTTCAGTTAAAAGATTGAGAGAATATTCAGATGTATCAGTTAGGACATGTGGGATGATATTAAATCACTTGTGCGGTAGGGGGTTACGTGGGGGGTTAACACTACATACTCTAGGTAAACACATTTTCTACTGATGTCATCTTATCTTGGAAAGTATCTATGAAATTATAATAGAGGTAAACTTTCATAAAACAAGATGATCCTAAAAATGATCACATTAAAAAAGGAATGAGCAGAAAGTCCAAGTGATATCACCCGAGATGTCCATCATTTTTAAAGAAACCAATCAGGAATTTGACACAAACGTCATAGCTAATCACATTGATGATGCACTATTCATGTAATGGCAGGTCAATTAGAGTTCAGGATATCTTTGATTATGCTCAGGAGATAGTAGCAAGCAAGGATTAACAAGTGGCGATTCTTAAATGGTTCAGTGTGCAAGAAGGAAGACCGATGACAGGAGGAGAACTTCAGTCAACAGAAGAGAACAAGAGAGCTGCAAACTGGTGGTGAAAAGGGGTTGACTGAAACACCACTGCTTTGATTACATATCATTCCTTTTGTTTTTGTTTTGATAAATAAACTCAACCATTTGTACCTGGGTCTAGTAACTAATCTGGACTGGTAAACTTAAATTGGCTCCCTCAACCTCAGTCTCAGAACATACAATTAACGTGAAAGTGAACCCTCTAAAATTCACAATGGAAATGGTGGACAATTTAATGTTCTCAAACTCATGGACCCGAACAGTTCAGATCGCTGCCCATGTGTTGTTGGTTCAGTCTCAAGTTGGGCCATCTGGCCACAGTCTCACAGGAACAAAAGCTGATGAACTACCTTAAAATCAACCAAGCTGCCGGAAACAACAAAAGCAAACTCTTGTTGACCCTGTGAAATACTCCTTACTAATATCTGGGTACTAGTGCCAAAATTGGAAGAGCTCTCCTACAGACTAGACAAGCTATAGCATGACATAGGCATATTCACAGAATCATACTTTACAATGCACTGAACACTACTCTCAATGTCCTGGCCCACTGGCAGGACAGAACCAGCAGAGGCAGGACACAGTGGTAAACAGTCAAGAGGGAGATGCCCTGGAGTCCTCAACATCACGTCTGGGCTCCAAGAAGTCTCGTGGCACCAGGTCAAATATAGACAAGGAAACCTTGTGCTGATACCCACGTAGCACAGGCCCCGACCTTCCGCCCTCCCGGCTGATCAATCAATCCTCCTCTGTGTTCGACACCACTTGAAGGAAGCACTGAGGTCTTCCTCAAAGGGCATTAACCAATATCTCTACTGAAAGCCAGTTGTCTTCAAGTGGTCAGCGAATAAACCTTTTCAGTCAATCACCACTCCTTGATTCGTCATGGTGGCTAAAATGGAGCTGACATAAAGGACAGCAGAGTGAAGACAAACATCATGACTGCTGTCAGGAGACCTGGCATCAACACAACTGATTCACTCCCAACAGTCATACACCAGCTAGACTTTGAAGTGAAATCCCATCCATTTCCAGTAGATGGCACAGTTGGCACAGTTGACCTCCACAAAGCAACACAGGTGCTGTCAATGACCCCTAAAAACATACATATTTAAAATCAATCCATTCAGACTTGTTCAGAAACACCTTTGGGAGATAGGCCTCATTATGGCACAGTGGTGGTGCCCCTACCACTGAGCTAGGTGGCCTGGATTAGAGTCCCACCTACTCCAGGCACGTGTAATAATATCCGACTCCTCCGGGACAGCTGGGCCAGAGTCAGGACACCTGGACGACACCCTGTACAATGGGGAAGCCCGCAATCCTGTCAAAGATAGGTCTTTCTTTTTCCGCCTGTCTGTCACTCAAGAAAACATTAAATATATTTAGCTCCACTTGATGGACAGCCACAGTAACCTCCTTTACACAACAGTGAATGGCAAACCGCAAGCAGTTCCAATCCCAAAAACTTCAGCTGGAAGAAGCCAGATGCATAAACACTCATCATCATGGCCGCCGTCACAGCTACTGGCAATGGCGTCCTCACCCTGGGGAATCAGCTTGGAGTTACAGTTGCGACAGGGGGCAGATTTCAATGAGGATGTCATCAATGAAGAGCAGGCTCACACAGCATTCCTCACTGAGGGCGGAGAATTGTTTATGAACATCCTGGGCAGACATGGCCTCCTGTTGATTGCTCGTCTCTCACACATCCCTCTTTCAACAATTTACCCTGTATGACAATGTATATCCATGTCACACAGCAACAATGCTCTCTTCAAAATTTGGATTTTATTTGGCAAATTTGAAGTTTCTTACAAGACAACATACTGTGATAACATTTAGTGCTAAACATTAATACAAAATAAAGCTATTGCCAAATGGAAAAAGTTAAATTTATTATTCTGAATTTATTCTATACTTGTGAGTCATGTAAAATATTATTTATATTTATAAGCAATTATAAACAACTACTTGGATGCTTCTTATTCAAATGTTTACCCTATAATTCCCGTGCATGATGCTTTGTATTTTTGTAATGCTATGCATTGCATTCTGCATAATAAATCAGTTATTATAACTAATGTGTTGCAATATTCTAATAATGCTATTTTAATATCAGTGGGGCATTCGCACAGCTGAATTATAAGTAGCATTGGCAGTATTGTTATCAGAACTTTAGGTGTAAACTTCAATTCCATCAGAAAGTAAGACGACTTGAAGTGGAGACATTACCTTAGTCAACTGATAACATTGCTCAGCAGTGCACTCTGCTTTGCTGGTTGGATTGCTTAATGCAAATATAATTGGACGCTCATTGAAGCTTGCCATGTCTTTGATGATCTGTTCTGTAAATGCACCACCAATTGCAGAAACTCCTGGAAGAAACAAACAGTCAAATAAAATCAATCCACAGGTTTCTGTCTCTCTGTACTTTCAGAGTAGTGCTCACGCTTCAAAGTGAAAAAAAAAGAAAGCAAAAAAACAAGATACCAAAACAAAATCAGAACTGGAAGTCAAAAGGACTTTTTGGCTTACACGAGACAGAATTCATAAAAAATACCAATGACTACTACATGCACACTTCCTACATTCAAATCCCCAAAATCTGCAAAAGAAATGATGTAATAGATTGCTGGTCATCTCATCACACTAGAACAGGAAAATACAGATTCAAATGTGTCCAGGATGTTCCATACATTGGTACTTCTGTAGGAAGCAGAAGGTTGGGCAACTGAAAGAAGGAAACAATGCTCGAGAATAGGTGCAAGAGTGTAAGACTAGGTAGGTGATTAGAGTTTGTAGAGTTATTTATGTTGAGTAACTAACAATGATTGAAATCTCAATGAAGTGCCTATATCTCTATGCTAATCAACATAGATAAAAATAAGCAGGAGCCTCTATTCACTCTATTCATTAACTTATCCGCAAAGGTTGCAAGCATAATCAATTTAATGTGTCTCAAAATAATTTTTCAGTCAATATAATTTGCAATTAAATTTTTGGAGCTCAACAAATTACAGCACAACCTTAATATGCAGAATATAACAGTTTTACTATCTCTTTGAATGACTGTGTTCACAAAAACAAGCATACATAGAGGGATTACACATGAGCTTACTTCTAACCCAATTTGAGAATGGTATATAATAAACCTTACCTTTTGTTATATTCTGCATATCAGTGTTGTGCTATAATTTATTGTTGAGCTCCAAAGCATTTAATTGCAAATTATATTGACTGAAAAATATATTGAGATGCATTAAGTTGATTGTAACCTATGCAGACAAGTTAGCGAATAGAGGCTACTTGTGGTTTATTGACGTTGATTCATTAAAAAGTAAAAAAGAGGCATTAATTAGGGTTTCAGCAGCAGAGATGCTGAGACAGGATCAACTCCAGTGATGTCATGGAGGTGGAAATCTTACTGACGGAGTGAACAAGGTCAGATGTTTACGTCAGGATCAAATGTGGCACCAAGCTTGCAAAAAGTGACTGGCTTAATCTCAAACTGTTGCCTGGGAGGGAATGCTGTTACAAAATAGAGAATGGAGTTTTGAGAGGAGACCAAAAATAATGGCTTCATTCTTCATCAATATTTGATTTGACGAAATCTTCGGTCATTCAGTACTGGTTCTTGGATAAACCAATCTGATCATTTAGCTACAGTGAAGAAATGGAGGAAGGTGGTGTGAGGTGGAGCTAGGTGTCATTAGTGTACAAGTGAAAACTAACTGTAACTTTGGATAATATCCCAAGGAGCACACGTTGCTGAGAAATGTATAGGTGGGGCAATGATAGATTCTCAGGGGCACAAGAGGTAGTAATTCAAGAGTGGGGAAGAGAAGCCATTATAAGTGTTAAGTGTCTCTCGACTAGTCGGATAAGAATGGAACCAGGTGAGAACAGGCCAAGCCAGCTGGGTTACAGTGTACAGGCTACACACAAGCAGAAGGCAATAAAAGCTTACCTTCATTACAGTCATGAAGGACATCACTCTTCCAAGCTCTGTTTTGGTACTATGGCAAGGGTGGAAATGTAATTGGAGGAATTCAAGCATTGAGTTCGGGGAAAGATAGGAACAGATTTGGGAAATGCTAGCATTTCTTGGATTCTGGAGACGAAAGGGGAGATGGTGATGAGATGGTGATGAGATGGTACTGTGCAAGGACATGGGATCAAGTGTGGTACTTTTGAAGCTGAGGTGATGTCGGCTGGAAGGCTAAAGGCAGGTCAATACCTAAAGAGAGAATCCATTTACATTATGGGTTCAGATGGAAGACAGGAGGGGATTTTTGGCTTGCAGTTTTGTGGGAATAGTTTTGAGGGGCAGGAGGGGGATCTCATGGTAAAGGTGAGCTCAGAGAGGGCATGAGTGGAGATAGGAGAGAAAATGGTGAAAGGAAGTTTATACAGAAATTATCTTTGTTGTAAAGCTCAATATTTGTCTTGTACTTTGATGCTGCTGGAAGAAATTATTTAAACTATCATGTCAAGTCTACAGTGCTGCTATCGATTTAGTTTACTTTGCTTAATAATCAATATCATTAGAGGTCATTAGACAACAGACCAATATGAATAAATGCAGGCCAAAGGAGGAAAAAAAAAAAGCACAAAACCCGCAATACCAATGAGAATGACAGCAGTTATCACAGTGACACAGACAGGAGGATCATAAGCATTAAAATAACACTTAGTTATGAAAACTGTGTCCTGGCTAGTTGACAGTGCCAAAAAAATTCCTATTTCTTTTGGTGCATTCTATAAGGAAATTTGACAATGGTCAAAAACAATCTGCATAATGACAAGGCAAACAGAACATAGGAGTTAGCAGAAGAAGTTTTAAAACAAGGCAATTATACCTATAATTGCAGTAGGTTTGAGACACCGAACAATATCACTCAGGTTCGTCAGCTCCGAATATGGGTGAGCAAACCTCATTTTCTGCTCAGTCAGGTTGGCACGCCCCTTAAAGATACAGAAAACAAACATATTAAAATGCTACGGACAAAATTATTTAAAGCTTTTCTTTTTCATCTCTAATTTAAAAAAAAATGCTTTGTAAGATACACTACAGTATCAGATGCATCACCAAGCCATACATGCACTCAAACAAGTCTACCATATTAAAGAAACCTCTCATCGCCTTAGTTTCTATTAATGTAGACTGCATCAAACTCTGAAGGAATAATTCAATGTCATGTAGGCCCCATTTACACCAGCTGCTTGAAATAAAAGTGCGAGAGATTTTGGGAGAGCATCAAATTGTAGCTGTATCAGAGTTTTACATATCTTTGGACTTGCTGTCTCAACTATTTTTTTTTAAAAAAATGAGGAACATTCACCAATACAGTTGACAAGGTGAAGTCTGCCACTGTACAAGTGTGTACCTACTATTACATGGGCACAGACAAGCTCTCATGCGTCCATTCACAGATCACAATAGTCTCCAAACCTCAGAATCGGGCAGAACTCCTATTAGGAATGCTGATGTCAGGAATGGTGCTGGGACAAAAGATAATTTACAGCGCTGCAGAAGAGGAAAGCTAAACCACTAAGAAAATGGCCGAAATATACCTCTTTTCATTTTACCGTGACTGCTGATACTCTCCTGTCAACATAACGCCATTGAATACCATTCGATGCCCATTGCAACTCATCCACACAATATCCCAAAATTGGTTGATATTTATATAAACATCTAGTTTAAAACATCAAATATTAACCACAAAAAAGTCTGTGCTAAAATAAATCCGTTTGAACAAAAAAAATCTATTGGCTGATGAATACAGGTGGACAAACAGGGAAGATTTATCCTGATCTTAACCACAGAGTTGCAAGCAGTAGTTGTTGACAACAGATTGGTTTGAGAACTGTCCACAAAATTTGACAGGGCACAAAACCACAAATAAAGGTAACCACAATGTTTTATATTTGAATAGAAGTATAGGAGACCAAAAGGAGGTTTTGCTTTGGAGAGCTCCAAAATGAGTAATTTTAATCAATATGTCAAGATAGAAAACCATGACATTTGACATTTTCCTTCCTTTGACTTTACTCAAAATGGGTGACCCATTTGATTATGTCAGTTTCCAAAAGACAGGTTAGGTTAAAAATTAGCCCTCAATATTTTAGTTTTGTTTCAACATCATATGCATGTCCATTTAAATTCCACCTCAAAATGTTGCTAAAATCTGTACAACAACATTGTGAGAAATAAAGATGAGAAAAGGGAGAGGCAACAAATGATCAATAGGGGTGCTTTGTACACGTGTTCAATGGAATTGTACAACCACTGCTTTTGACAACTTTTTGGTTCATTTAAAAAGGTAATTTCCATAGAATCAAAGTACAATACAGCAATAATGGAAGGAAGCCATTAAGTCAATTGTGAGCTCAGCAGCCATTTGTTGGAGCTATCCAATTAGTCTCACTCCCCTGCTCTCTCCCAGAGCTCGGATTTCCTTCACTTGAAGTATTTACTTCATTCTCTTTTTGGGACGTTACCCCTGAACCTGCTTTACCAGCCCTTCAGGCACTGCCTTCCAGACCGTACTTGGTCGTGTAACTTTTCTCCCCCTGAAATCCGAAATGGTACTTCCACCAGTCGCTTTAATTCTGCGTCCCCCAGGTCAATCCACAGATTGCTCTGCTACTGGAAACACTTCCACCTTATTTAAACCATTAAAAGAGAGACTTCACGATTTTTAAAATGTTCATAAAGCCTTCCCATAAACCGGTCTGCTATAAGGGCACCAATGCAAATTCTCCACAAAATCCCTTATTTCAGGTTGCAGTCTAGGAAATCTCTTCTGCACAATTGCTGTGGTCTTCATATCCTTCCAAAAGGATTATCCAAGGAGTGGCAATCAGACTCAGGTTGCCTCTCTGTTCCTCCTTTGTAAGTAAACTCCACATTTCAGACAGGAGGTTCCAATCAGGGATCGTACTGGGGCATGGAGCATATTTTAAATCTGACAGGTCTCTCGCAGTGCATAATCGTCGTGGCAAGGCAGGCAGCCAGCCCTTTGTTTTTGATAGCAGTCAGTTGCCATATTCTACGATCGAAAATGTCCAGCATCCCAGCCAGCCTCTTCGACAGCTCGTAGATTCTGGTGGTTGCAGGGTGTGCTGTTGGTTTCTGATGGGGATGAGGGGTGGTGTGTCACATCTCTGGGTAGCAGGGGTGGAATGGAGGTGTGGAGTGTGACATTCAGTCTTAGGCAGAGATGTGGGGTTGGGTTTGGTCTCGGGTATGGGTTATTGGTTCCTGAGGGGGGTGGTGATGATGGGTCTCAGGAAGAGAGTGTAAGGCTGTTTATTCAAGGATGGAGAGGAGGGGGCCAGCTGGGAGTCTGGCCCTAGGTATAAACAATTGTTTCCTGGAGGTTTCAGGGATGGTAGATGTCAGGTCCTGGGGATAGAAAGGGTCTCCAGATTACGGGCTTGGGGGACATGTAGTTGGATGTGTGTGCGCCAAGTTGGAGGGTCAGTTTGACGGTTACTCAGGAGGCAAACTAGGTATCCAATTACCTAACTTTTCCTCAGCAAAACTCCCAAATTCTGATTCAAATGGAAATTGGCAGGTTCCAGGCATGAAGGAATTGTCCATCGGAATTTTTAACTTCCCAGAAAATTCCCTCAGTCTGCTATGTCTGGGATTCTTTGGGATCCAAATGCACAGCTTTCATCTCCGCTGCAGAACCATCATCTGGCCATTGGAAAATCTAGACCATGCTATTCAGGATTGGACACAATGCACCAGAGGCTGGGCTGCTCATTTTGGAAAACATTACAAAGCAATGACACCTTTGCTCTTATGCGGTGCCTTTTACAAAGATATCACAAGTTACATTCCAGGAACAATATCAAGAAAATATTTGATACTGAGCCACGTAACAAAGATTAGAACTGATGATAAAGGAGCTCATGAAGAAAAGTGAAGAGGAGAAGCTCAGATGTTTATGGAGGGAATTCCAGAGGTTAGGGCTCTGTTAGCTGGAAGGTAACAATGGTGAAGTGGTTAAAACCATGATATTAGAATTTAGCTCAACTTGCTTTATTAATCTCTGTCTTTATTCAGAATGTTATGAATTCCATTTGTTTTAAGAAAACTTAAAGAAACTTAAAAATTTTTGCCATCTCAACTTGCTAAACCACATTCAACAATTTTTGCATGTACACACACACCCCAAAAGTCTCAGCTGCAATTCTTTCACGACTGCACCATGCACCCAACACTGCCTCTATGCTTATTCTCTTACCAAAGTAAATCATTTCACACTTCACCACACTAAAGGCCATCTGCATAATATCTGTCCATTTCATCGGTCTATGTTCTCCTAAAGTACGTTACGATCTTCACTGTTAACCAGATTCCCGAGTTTCATGCCAAAGCCTTTCAAGAGATGATTGCATGATGCATAATGAATCTTGGGAAATCACAAATGTACCATCTATGTTTCACAGATTTTAATGATCAGAAAAATCAAGGCCTGAAACTGATGGAAATGTTCTCAGACGGGGAATCAACATGCAGAATGCTGATCAGCAAATTTGGAAATCATACTGATTTGCTCCTTATCCACCAGATGGCACCATTTCCCAGGAAATGATTAAACTTCTTTCAATTTGAAATACAAAGTCTTCAGTTTAAAGTAAATCAACTTTAAAGTAAATCAAAGTAATCCATCTCCCTCTAACAAAACAGGGTTTTCTCATGAGAATGCTACATTTGGACCAGGTGTGACTGCATGTAGAATATCTGAAGTTTTACAACACATGTCCCACAGATGAAACAATGTTGAAAATCAGAATCTCAGTTTTAAGCAGGGTCTTCAAAATAGTGGTGTGCGGCGGTAATTGGAATGGGCAACAAATGCTGACCACTCCAGCACTTGCTCACATCCCACAAAAGAACAAAAAAAGTGCTACAAATTACTGCAAAGAATATTTTCAGATGTCTTTTAAAATAAAAAATTTTAATGATATTTCCATCAATCAAGTCTCATTGCATGGATGGATAACATCTGCCAGACGGTTTCCATTCCTTTGTGGAAATGCTGAACTTTACAGAATGAGGCCAAGTAGCATTCTTCAAAAAATCATATGTTTGCATCTTTCTCCCACCCCAACATTCTCTCCACTGGGCAGAACTTCAGTGGGATAGCCACTTGTGGTTGTGACTAGTCACATCTCTTCAGGCAACTGCATTAATAGTGAATGCTAAAAGATTATTTGCTTGTTGGAACATGGAAACATCGGACTTGGGAGCAAGAGTAGGCCATTCGGCCAACTGAGCCTGCTCCAACATTCATTAGATCATGGCTGATCGGGGTTGGGATCTCAACTCCATTGATCTCCTGTGATCCTTGGCCCTCCACTGTCTTTTGGAGTACAGAATTCCACACAATAATGACTCAAAGAAAACAAAATCTCATCTGTCAATTGAAAGAGGGACCTCATCTGTGTGCCCTGACACATGACTCAAAGTTAGCATGCAGGTACAGCGAGTAAAGTGTGCCCTGTACTTGTTTCTCTCCAACAAGGCAAAACATCTCTCAATCTGCTCGGTCAAGTTCCATCAGGGTCTTACATGTTTCAATAGAATCAACTCTCATTCTCTTAAACTTCATGGGAAAAAGGCATAAATTATTCAACCTTTCTTCACAAAATAGGATCCTTGCCTCAGGAATGAGTTGAGTAAACCTTCTCTGAACTGTTTCCGTAGCCTTTTCTCAAATAAGGCAATCAAAGTTGTACACCATACTCAAGATGCAAGACCCTGTACAGGGGCAATAAAACTTCCCTACTTTTATATTCTATTCCACTTGCAATTAAAGTCAATATTCCATTTGCCTTCCTAATCACTTGCTATACCTGCATACTGACTTTGCGAGTCATTCATGTACCAGGGCACACACATGTGCCACAGAGATCTACAATCTCTTTCTATTTAAATAGTTTAC